ACTGCATGCAGAACAAAATAAACTGTTAGCCCTGATAGATCATAAAATAGATTAAAAGAATAGTTAACCAAAAATTTAAATGTGCTTACCCTCAGATCATCCAAGATGTAGATGAGTTTCTTCATCAGATTTAAAGAAATGTAGCATTGCATCAGTGTCTCACATCACAATAATCCACAAGTAATCCACACCATGCCACGTCCATCAGTTAATATCTTGTGAAGTGAAAAGATGCATGTTTGTAAGAAACAAATCCATCAAGACATTAACTCAAATATGACTCCATAATCCATCATAACACTTCCTCCAGTGGAAAAAAAAAAAGTCTGGTCTGAATCAGGAGAGAAATCTGCACAGATCAAGCACTGTTCACAAGCCAAAACAGTCCAAAACAAATATGTGTGTGGATTTTGATGCGAGAGACAACAGGAGATGGCCTTTTTTTCACTGAAGGAAGCATTATTATGAATAATGGACTCATATTTTAGTGCCTTAATTATGGGTCTGTTTCTTACAAATGCGCAGCTTTTGTCTCAAGACGATAACTGATGGAGTGGATTACTTGTGGATTATTGTGATGTTTTTATCAGCTGTTTGGACTTTCATTCTGACGGCACCCATTCACAGTGATGCAATGCTACATTTCTCCAAATCTGATGAAGAAACTCATCTATATCTTGGATGATCCAAGGGTAAGCACATTGTCAGCAAATGTTCATATGTGGGTGAACTGTTTCTTTAAATGGTGTAATTACTCGTGTTTATATGACCTGCTTGTGCAACTATTCAGAGGCGGTTGAGTATCTGATTAAATTCAGCAATCAGGCATCACCCTCTGATACAGCAGTACTGCACCCTTCGCTGAAGGACACATCTCTGACCACAGGGGGGAGCGCTCGTTTAATTGGAACATTTTCTGTAGAACAGAGTTAAGAAAATGACATAGAAATGCGATAAAGAATGTCTTTTGAAATTCCTGTTTATGTATTTGTACTCTGTTTTTGATGATTTGTAACAATTGTATCCTATAAGCATTTTGCATATGTAAAGAGGATGTGAATATGAAAAAAAAAAAAAAAACAGCAATAAGCTAAACAATTTATTAAAGCAATAAGCCCCGAGAAGCCGTGGTTTACAGTGAATTTATAACAGCTAAGGTACGACACGAAGCGGAGTGCCTAAAACCCCCTTAGCTGTTATAAACTGACTGTAAACCACGGCTTCTCGGGGCTTATTGCTTTTATAAAACGGTTATTCCATATACGTAGTAAGGTTTCACAAAATAAAACAACAGAAACGTAAACAAAGGTGTATGTTTGTAGAGTAATTTACAACAGCTTCGAACGTGGCTCAGCCAATCAGAATCAAGGACCGGAACTCTCTGTTTTATAAATAAACGCTTACCGCTCGACTCAGAAACAGTATTTCAGTGGACTCATGTGCCTCTGGACCTCCATGTCTGTAGAAATCTCTCACTTCCTCTGTTGTCAAAGTGCATCTTCACAGAGTAAATAACACATAAATGACTGGTTCTTTAAGCTAACAGCTCATCACGTGGATGTGGAAGATTCACAAATCATATGAATGATGTTTACCGGACATAAAACTCTGCACTGGGTCGTCCTGCACTAGTGTGGTTCAGCGCAATTCCCATAAACACCGGTTTGCTCAGAGAACTGACGGGAACGTTCACCTGTGATGAGAGTAAGAATGACAACAAAAAAAGACAGAGATGATGAGAACACAAAGCAGCATTCATTTCAACAATTTCCCAGTATGGGTTTGAAGCATCGTCTATCGAATGTAAATCCACAGATACACACCTCATCACTGATCTCTGCACACACCGAGGAGAAGATCTCTGAAACAACGGCTCTCTCTTTACCCTGCAGGAGATCAGCACATATGGCCTCCTCACTGACCCCTGGACACAACATCTACAGACACACACAGATACTACTGCATTTCATTTGGAATAAAGATTTTTAAATGTGTTTGAAATAAGTCTCTTCTCCTCACCAAGGCTGCATTTGATCAAAAATTGTGAAATATTATTACAATTTACAATACATTTTTTCTATGCGCAGTAGAGATTTGTTTGGAGCCCGAGTCTGCGCGGTAGAGATTCATTTGGAGCCCGAGTCTGCGTAGTAGAGATTCGTTTGGAGCCCGAGTCTGCGCAGTAGAGATTCGTTTGGAGCCCAAGCCTGTGCAGTAGAGACTCGTTTGGAGCCAGAGTCTGCGCAGTAGTGTCATGAGGTGGAGCCGCGGTATCAAACTCCCGCCCAAACTCCCGCAGACCCAATCAACCATAACGACACGCCTCGTTTTTATAGCATCACATTAACTAGCTAAAATCTAACTAATCACAAAAACGAACAATTGAACATATATCATCGTGATACCAACAGCATGATACCTTAAATGACCAAAACCATCTTTCGGAAAATTGTATTGGAAGTGCAATTTATTTTTTTATTTTAACTCAAGTCCCATTCGTTTACATGGAGAGGGCGGGGTTTATGACCTGTACTGCAGCCAGCCACCAGGGGGCAATCATAGAGCCTGCAGCTTCACTTTTCAGGACGTGTGAGGCACACCCGATTTTTACTAATAAATGTGGCCTTGGTGAGCAGAAGAGTACATTTACGAAAGGACACATGATGATGGAAGTAATGAGCAGCTCTCAGTGTATCTGACCTTTGGCTCAGGGTGACCTCCAGGTATGTCTAACAGGCCTGCAGCCTCTGCCACTTTCTGGCTTCTCCTCAGCAGGACGACGTCTCCATCTGCCGTGGCCATGACAGCACCGACCCCCAGCGGCTGAGCGAGGAAGGCCTGCGGATCTGCGCATTCGTTCTGTCCGTGACTCTGCAGCCTCCCCGCCTCTCGTGACCAGTTAGTCCCGAGATAGTCTTTATAACAGGTCAGGCCTAACTGTAATGTGAGCACACACGACTGCTCATCTTTGGCCAATCTGTCTGAGGATTTATCAGCACTTTCTAATTGGTCTCCTTCACCACATTGTGAGCGTGTAAGGTTTTGGGCGGCCTGTTCTGCCACGGGTCCTTTTTCCATGACGGACAGCACCGCTGAATGCAATCTGAATTTAGCTCCATTGAAGAGCCACGGTTCTTTGGCCACTCGGTCACTCCACACAGCTTCAATGTGCTGCTCGATTTCAGGAAAACTCTGCCGATTGAACCTAGAGTGGGATTGCAGCAAGTCAAAGATTTTGACATTTTTCGTAGCATCAAAAATGTATATGTATAGAGTAGTGCTTTCAAACACTTGCGATTAATCAAAATAAAAGTTTTTATTTACATAATATATGCGTACTGTTCACATTTAGTATGAATATATAAATACACACTCATGCATGTATACATTTAAGAAAAATATGTAATTTTTATATATAAAATATCTATATTTATATATGATATAAATTATAATAAATATAAAAATTAGTGCTGTCAAACGATTAATCGCGATTAATCGCATCCAAAATAAAAGTTTTTGTTAACATACTATATGTGTGTACGGTGTATATTTATATATAAATACAAAAACATGCATGTATACATTTAAGAAAAATATGTTATGTTTCTATATTATATATTTATATATAATATAAAATATAAATGTATATACATGTAAATATTTTCAAAATATATACTGTGTGTGTATTTATATATACATAATAAATAAACAGTACACATACATATATAAACAAACTTATTTTGGATGCGATTAATCGCGATTAATCGTTTGACAGCACTAACAAAAATATATATAAATAGTTTTAAAATATATACATGTATGCGTGTGTATTTATATATAAATAATAAATACACACAGTACACACACAAATATAATGTAAACACAAACTTTTATTTTGGACGCGATTAATCGCGATTACTCGTTTGACAGCACTAGCTGGTCACCATTTATTCATTCCAATCCTATTTTGTGACGGTTTAATATTTAAAAGTATAAACATTTTTAACTAATATGACATCATAAAATAATTTAGAAAACACATTTGTGATGGATATTTATATTGTACCTGTCTGAAATTTCTACGTGAATTTGATGTTCTCCAAAAGCCTGTAATGGATCAGAGAGCAGCATAAAAGACACCTCTGGATCCATGACAAAACCCTTTCAAACTTCTCCGAAGTGGACTTTCAGCATGGGTGTCTTCTCAATGCCTGCCTAGATATGATTTTTGAACAGTGTACATCTAGACAGAACAAAATGCAGCTACTAAGCAAAACTTACTTCCTTACCTAAACCGAAAACAGTCGGACTCTTAACTCAACAACTTCCGGAAGCGATGTGCTTCAAAATAAAAGTCTGCAACCAGAGCGTCTGCTGAAAACGAGATAAAATAGAACAAGTAAACGTACTGTAATGCGTTTAAATAAAGCACATGATACATGCTGTATTTTCTTCATCTCTTACATAATCTGTATTTTTTAGAGAAGCTCACCTTAGAGTCCAGAATATTTAAAGTTGTCCAAGTAAAGTGCCACTGGCTCAATTATCATATCTTGTGTTGTACATATAATTTATAATTTTGTCTTGGCATGAGAAAGGCAGCTTGGCCTAATGGGTCTGAAGAGATTATTTAAACAGAATAGTATTTGCATACTTTTCTACACATCTACACCACACTTATCCCAAGTGAGGAGTGAAATGTCTGTTTAGCTGACTTTAAAACGACATTTTATCAAAAACTTTACCATTTGTTTCCAGTGCTCCATCGATATTTAATAAACAAAATCAATTCTTCATTCATCATACACTTTGAAAGCAGAGAAAAAATATATTTGTTAATCTTTAGTCCTGTTAAAGTTTACTATAAAGAAATGTTCTTAACCCAGCACTACAATTAAGACTTCAAACCATAGATGTTAGCTTTTCTCCAAACTACGAAATTACAATGACAAGCCAACAATGTTTGATTTAAAAAAAAAAAATAAAAGTTTGTTTGCTGAATTTGTGTTTTTATTTTACATTTTCATTTGGGATTTTTTTTTTCTTTTGTGAAACCAAAGCCAGCCCGACTAATTTACACAGACATAAATTATATAAATAGTCATGTGACACACATTCTCATCTATTACGTTCTTAATACACACAATATCAAGTTGCCCACAATTAAGGCAAATTATTTTCTGGACATCAAGAAGAGAGAGGTTGCCCATGAGACAACCGTCAGCAATTCCCTGGTTTTAAAATACAATGTAAAAGTGTTCTGATAACACAATAGAAGTACACTTTTTTTATATATTCTGTCCAGAACTAGAAGATTTAAAATTCTGTCATTTATGTTTAAGGAATAGAAAGTGCGAGACAAGACCACCAACTGAAAGAACCGAACTTAAAATAACACAACTGCTCATTAAAGAAGAAAGATATCCTTTAAGCCAATTAAATACCCCCATATATACAGAAAAAAAAAACGTGTCTAAGAAAACACCAAAATAATTCAATTGCATAATTGATTTGAATATTCTAAGCATTAATGAATCAGATAAAAAGGTAATGCTAAGCAAAACATTGCCGCAAATTATCTGATACATGTGGTCAAGTCATTAAGCATCTTCATTATAAGAATGGCCAGTGCAGAAAAATAGGTCAGTGTTTTACAAAGCAATGCATCACAAAAAAATTCAACAGCTGAATGAATCTTATCGACAGGTGCATCTGATAGCAATCATCTCCTCGTACTCCTTGTAGGCAATGGAGCCGTCGTTCTCAATGGTCAAAACACTTAACGGATTATATTCTGAAGGCACACATGAAGGTCTAGGCACAGAAGAGTCTAGCTTCTCGTAAATTATGTTCTGAACCATCGTGTGCACAGGAGACCCATAAATATATCCCACAGCCCTCGGACAAGATCCCTTACAGTACCTCGGGTTGTATTTGTGAGGCGCTATGATCCAATGGTCCAGTTTGAGCTGACTGAAGCTCACTTTGAAATCATACAGGTCACAGTCGTCTGTGGGGAAGTCGTACATGGGGACGAGTTTGGGCGCGCTGGTTTCCGGCAAACTGGTGCTCTTTAGAGTGCCTCGTCTCTTTCGTGAAATCGAATCCCACCATGTGGACTTTCCATCCCAGTGGTTTGATGTCAGGTCTACAATCCTACCTCGTGAGGCTCTTCTCTGGTACGCAACCTCGCTGGTGTCATTAAGGTACAGGAGAAGAGACGGAGATCTGTGAGTTAACTCCACTGGGCTCTTGTGAACCTGGCCTCCGGGTCTGGGGATCATGTCTTCAACGCAGGTCAGGTTGATCAGCAGATGGATGTCTTGCTTATGGGCTTGAATGAGAGGATGGAGGAAGGAGGTCACGTCGACCTCCACCCAGCGGCGAAGGACCCTTCTCTCGGTGTGGACGCGGAAGCTGAGAAGCGGGACCGACTGCTGCGTGCCGAAGTGCGGAGAACACATCTGGTCCTTCGAGGGCTTCTGTTCTTTCACGTCGAGATAGCAGAGCGACGTGAAGGGGGCGATGTGGTTGTGGTCGAAAGAGTAAAGCAGGACCGACTTCAGCAGCTGCTCCTGAGACCTCACTCGATTCAGACTGTAGGAAATATCCTGCATGAAGAACTCTGCCAAGATAACACATAGCACCATTGAGGAACACATCCTTAGCTTGACCTCAGTTATATACTGTTTATTTAGTGCTTGAGAGTGACTTGTGATTGTTTGACTGCAGTTTGTTTGGAATTAAATTCCGTCATTTTTGTGTCAACTCAACCAGGGGCCTGTTCCATAAAACAAGTTTACCAAATAAGCCAGGCTTATTTCAGTTAGTCGGACTTATTTTGAACAACTTAGCCACCGTGTTAAGACTGTGTCTTAAGAACTAGCAGCTGCCAAAAAAAAAAATTCAGATGACTAACTGTTTAAGACTAGTCTAAACAGTTTATGCAACCAGCCCTGATGAATCAACTGATAATAAGTCAGACTAACTGAAGTAAACCTGGCTTAAACTCGTTTTATGAAACAGACCCCTGAGATGCCCGGCTCAAATGTTTGATTTTGTTAAACATTTATGTAAACACTTACTTCTTTTGGATATTTTAATAAAAAAAACCTTACATATTGTGCCTTTAATGGCTCATAAAAATAGACATTCTAGTTTTTGCTTCAAACAAAATGTAATAATACCTTTTAGTTGGTTGTTTTGGTTCATGGCTTTGAACACTATTAAAGATTTTAAAAAATCCACCTAGAAAAAAAATCTGAATTGGAAATGCGTCTAATTATCTAATTTTTCTTTTTGCATTTTTAATACATTTTGCCTAAAGCCTAAGATATTCGTAAACTGAACAGTAGTATAAAAACAATATATTGTGTAATATAATAGCTTGTGATATACTTTAACTGTATTTTATGCAGTATGTTTAATACTTTGGGAAATCCTAAAGTATTGCATGAATACAGATAACTTGCATCCTGTAAACAGTTAATTTCAAAAATAGTAAGGACAGAATAGTAAAGTATTCTGAAGAACACAAATCCTGAAACAACATAATCTTATGGGTTTAAAGCAACCGCATTTAGTATGCAAACATGTCCGATCAAGCTCTCAGGTTCAGATACCAGTAATAAGAAGTAGGTTTATACCTCGGTTTTGCTCGAGACACTCCTCTCGAGGCGTGATCAGACGGGCAGTGTTGTACAGGTGAGAGGCTTCGTGACTCCTGTCCGGTTTGGATGATAGTTTGTACAGTCTCTTCATGTAACGCACATATCTGGAGTCGGGTTTGGCTCGTGGTGTGAAATCTCCCCATGGGTTCTGCTCTGACAAAGCCTTCAGCAAAGGGCTCAGGATATTGCCATGGTGAAGGGACAAGTCGGGTTCGACAGACTCGTTTTCAAAGTTGTAGCATGATGTAAATGACAGGCCGATAATCGCGAGAACCATAAAAGAACAACGCGCACCAGGTTTAAAAAGCGGCGTCGCCATAATACATACAGTCCGGAGAAGACTTCAGAGTCTGCAGCCAAACCGCGCTTCCGTCGGCCTTACCTGCCAGACAGGTGTGCGCAATCAGGGCGACCCTTTATTTTTTTTTGGCAGAAAAGCCGGTGTAGATATCCACACAATGTTAATATACCTAGTACGATTTCACAGATTTAGATTTTACGCGTCTCAAACAACGCGACATTTCTTTTAGGTCCGCTGTCGACGAGTTTGAGCGGCTCTGCGTAATTCAAGCTCAAGATATGGTTTGGATTTTATTGCCAAAAGAGTGAAATTGGTTAACAGAAGAAACACGGCTAATGACTTTAGGGCACTGTTGCCAACTCTCGCGAGACAAATAAGCAGCAACCGCAGCTTCAAAAACAAGCCCAATATTTTTTGATAATTTATTATCAGCAATATTATTTATTATCAATTATTTATTACCAATAAAGGAGCCTGCAACATATTAAACCGAAACTACCCTTTTATCTGAAAAGCAATAAGTTATTTTACAAAAGCTGCAACAAAGCAGGAACAAAACTCTGACCTGTAAGCAGAATAGATGGACAAGGAGAAAAACACAAGAGCTTTAAAGGGGAGCTGTAACATAGCCACATATTTATAGCCTACTAAAATATTGGCTATTCAAACCAAATATAGGCTACTCTTAGTATTACACTCTAAAAAATGCTGGGTTAAATACAACCCAGTGCTGGGTAAAATAGGGACAAACCCAGCAATTGGGCTGTTTTGACCCAGCGGTTGGATTACTACCCAGAAGGTTGTGTTAAACATTTAACCCGACTGCTGGGTCAAAACAGCCCATTTGCTGGGTTTGTCCCTATTTTACCCAGCACTGGGTTGTATTTAACCCAGCATTTTTTAGAGAGTAGTATAGGCCTGCTTGTTTTTTTTATTACAGCCCGTGATAATTAATACATTACAAAAACGTTGTAAAAATTAGGCGACCTTATAGAGGGAAAAAAGTCATCCCACTGATCTACGTCTACTACTTTTATCGCTTGGATTACAGCTTCACTGTAGGAGGGGGCGGAATATTTGGCAAATTAAGCTACAGCACTTATATTTTTGCACTGATTGGCTATTAACTGCGAGCAGACAGAGTGTCAATCAATGCATTGTAGAATACAGTGAACATAAATGAAAAGTTGCTTGTCAGATTTCCCTAACAAGCAACCATATATTTTAAAATAAGCCCAAAAAACCGCAACCCGCGACCTGGAATTTTTTCACGCAACTTTACAAAAAAAGAAGGCCGATGTTGCGTATAATACGCGGACTTGGCAACTCTGCTTTAGGGGAGTTCAGGGTCTACAACTGACGTAGCCTATATAAATTGATTAAAAAAAAAAACATATTTATAGGCTTTTCCCTTTACTGTTGTGCAGAACATTTGTTTAGGGTAAGTACTCTTTTTCCCCGACGTCTCCTGGCCGGGGTTTCCGTCCGTGTTTTCCCATTGTTGTCACACTTGTTTATAGTAGCTATAATGGCTGAAAAGTAGGCTATTTTGACCAATAGCGTTCAGGTAGCCTATTGTACATTATCGACCAATCGTGGCGTGCGAGAAGGCGGGATCTACAGACAACGGCCAAAGTAATGCAAATACATAAACATAATATTTAGTGCTGTCAAACGATTAATCGCGATTAATCGCATTCAAAATAAAAGTTTTGTTCACATAATATATGTTTAGTGTCAGGTGTATATATTTATATAATTAATATAATATAGGCTATTTCATATATAAATATAACATTTTTCTTAAATATATACATGCATGTGTGTGTGTGTGTTTTCTTACATATATACATGCATGTGTGTGTGTGTATGTATATGCATAATAAATATACACACTACACACACACATATTATGTGAGCAAAAACGTTTTGCTCTGACAGCACTAAATATAATGTATGAGAACTGTTGAGAACGTTAAGATAAAAACAAAGACAAAACCCGGACATTTTAGAAATCCAGGCCAGGACATGTCCGGGATAAAGCTGCGTATAATGAATGATGAATAAACGTAGGCCTACATTCATTGTCCCAATCATGCATGTCTTAGTATTTTGAATAAAATATTAAAATAAGTGCTTTTAGAGATGGAAAATATTAGGGTTCTTTGAAGTCAGAAGTCGGAAAGAGCTTTATTGCCAAGTATGTTTGCACATACAAGGAATTTGTTTTAGTGTCTCGAGCTTCAAGTGCACAGAGACAACAACAATACACAGATAATACAAATAAGATGTGAATAAAGTACACATATGTATAAATATAAATAAACCACAAAAAAAATGAATAGCCTAAATATGTACAGGTGTGCTATGGATAAAATAGAATATGAATAGAATAAAAAATAAAGTTGTAGGGATGTACTAGGATGTAGGGTGATAAATAAGTAGAAGGTTATTGCACAATGGGAGAACATTAACTGTTCATGAGGTAGATTGCCTGGGGAAAGAAACTGTTCTTGTGCCTGGCTGTCCTGGTATTCGGTGCTCTGTAACGCCGACCAGATGGCAAAAGTTCAAAAAGGAGATGGCTTGGATGTGATTTTCTGAGCCCTTTCCCTCACTCTGGATGTATACAGTTCATGGAGGGTGGGCAGGGGAGCCCCAATAATCCTTTCAGCAGTCCGAACCGTTCTCTGTAGTCTTCAGCACCCGTATTCACAAAACATCTTAAAGCTAAAAGTAGCTCATAGCTCGCCGATTTAGGAGAAAATCTTAAAAATAATGGGCTAATTCCCTAATGATATCATCTCGCAGGAAGTGACATCACTGTGGGTAAACAACAGCATCAATATAAATGCAATTGAATTAATTTTGCAACATCACCTCAAATTGCCAGCTTTTATTGAAAATGAATGGCTTCCAATCACTCCTTTCAAATTGCTGTCAAATGATTACCTTTATTAAATTGTTCAGCTTCTCAAGGCTCGTTTAGCCTGAGCCAACAAATGCTAAAAGACATGTTGTTGTTGTCAGTCATCAGCTGGGAAAAAAAGTGATTCCAATGATATTGTCAAAGCTTTAAGGATAAGACCATCTCTGATATTGTTTATCTGGGTCGTTATCAGTATAACTGTGGTGTGTGGACAATGAATTAACTATTCTCAATTAATAAAACTGTATAGATATCATACTTGGTTTGAAATGCTATTTAAAGTTCTGTTTACCAACATTCTAAATCCAACTGCATTCAAAATGAAACTTTAGAATGTTTGAGCATGGAATTACAAACATGACATCATTCTGAATGTTACATTTGTTGTTTGACAAAAATACCAGGAAACAATGCCATCTGTGCCTTGTTTTAATTCTTTAATTTTCCATTTGATTTGAAAGGGTTACTGTGGAACTGTTAATAAATTATCATTTCCCAGGCAAATAAGCTTTTTGACATTTGTATTCTTAGCAACCCATTAGATTACAAGCATTTTTTCCGTGACACTTGCAGTGAATTGAGGCGGTTTAATGTTGAGGCTGACCGTGGGAACCTGCATAATGACCGAGAAATGAAGAAAAGAAACACCCCACAGTTCAAACAATGACCCTATAAATTAGTCGGCAAAACAAAGAGAACTATTATTTTGCTTTCTCGAACACAGCCTACATTTGTGACAGACAGATAATGCCGAGACCATAAAATGAAGAATTCACAACTCATTCAACATTATTTACATAAACTTGAAATAAATATTAGTATATAATAACAAGTCATGCTAGTCAGAATGAGCTCAAATTTGGCTCAGGATAGCGTCACGTTCAACAGTGAACCGCTTTAAAGCCAAAGGATATACTTTCTGAAACGACCTTCACCTCGCCGCTGAACAAGAGCAGCTCTAACCGAGAGGCAAGGGCACTTGCATCATTCCAGATCACTGCGCACCAGTCAAAAGGCTCTGAATGGAGTTATGCTAAGCTCCGGCACCCATGAAATCACGCCTGAATCACTGCCTGACTGTGACAAAGGCTTCATTATATTTTCCAGGCTGTGTCTAGCATTGATGAATTCCTGGTTAAAACTGTGGTTTCATTCTTACACATTAGATCACTAAAGTGGTTATTTGCAATAAATTTACCTTGGCTTATTTAAAAATTAAAGAACGGAGCTACAGTTGATCTCTTCAGTATTACACAGACATCACATCAAGCATAATGAGCTCAAGGACAACGTGCTACATCCCACACAGAGGCCCCTCTCTCTAGCTCTCTCTCTCTCCATTCACTCAGTGGCACGAGTGCTTCTCTAGGCATTATTCACAGCACAGCAATCAGATAAGAAAGATGACAGAGTCACTGTTTGAGGAAAGTCAGAAAATGTTCTCAAGTCACATGGTGACATTATTTTTCTGACAAAAGCATATTTTCCCCCATATTTGCGTTACAAAGGATTCAGATATTTTATTTTTGCGTTTGTTTGTAATTCCTAATACTCTCAATAATGATTCCGAATAGATTAAAAATACTGTAACGCAAGCGTTTCCATACTTTTCGGCATAAATTAAGAGCAGTACAATTAGTACCATGAAATACTTCGCAATTACTCGCCCTCAGGCCATCCGAGATGTAGATGAGTTTGCTTCTTCATCAGATTTGGAGAAATGTAGCATTGCATCAGTGTCTCAGCAATGGATGCTCTGCAGTGAATGGGTGCCGTCAGAATGAGAGTCCAAACAGCTGATAAAAACATCACAATAATCCACACCACTCCAGTGCATCAGTTAATGTCTTGAAAAGCCAAAAGCTGCATGTTTCTAAGAAACATAACAAGCATTATGTCGTTTTTAACTTCAAACTGTTGCTTCTGGCTAAAATATGAGTCCTCTAACCATAATACTGCTTTCTCCGGTGAAGAATTCATCTTGACTGAATCAGGAGAGATCTGCACAGATCAAGCACCATTTACACAGTCCAAAACAAAAAAGTGTGTGGATTTTGATGTGAAAGACAACAGATGAACCTTTTCACTGGAGGAAGCATTATTATAGATTATGGACTATATTGATAGTTTAGCCAGAAGCAACCATTTAAAGTTAAAGTTAATGATGGATTTGTTTCTTACAAGCATGCAGCTTTTGGCTTCTTAAGATGTTAACTGATGGACTGGAGTGGTGTGGATTACTTGTGGATTATTGTGATGTTTTGATCAGCTCTCATTCTGACGGCACCCATTCACTGCAGAGCATCCATTGCTGAGACACTGATGCAATGCTACATTTCTCCAAATCTGTTCCACTCATCTACATCTTGGATGGCCTGAAGATGAGTAAATTTTAAGTATTACATTTTAATTTGATTTATTTTTGCATTTACAGCATGATAATTTTTTAGGAAAACTTTTCATGGAAATGTCAGCGTAACCCAACATAACTGTGTATTCAGATAGCTGTGTTAGTACTAAATGCATTTTCCTGTTACTTATCAACCTCATTAACAAACAATCATCAGTAGACACAAGGCTGTCACTGTACAATCACCAATTAAATTAACACATTATATTAAACCTACAACAAGTAATGCAAGTCTATTTTTAGTGTGCGTTGTTGGGATATTTTACTGTAACAGTTTGTGATTAAGTGTGATGTTCTTTCTGGGGTCTTCATGATCATCTCTGATGAAGTGGAAGCTCGGTCGTCGTCTGTATTTCTTTTTATGTCCAGCGGTGTGGGGCTGGAATAGTTTACTCAGGGTGTTGAATCCTTTAGGGAGGTCTGAGGGGTTCTGTGCATCCTTCTGCAGGCTGTGAGGGTCTCCGAGCATCTTTCTGATTTCAGTCGACACGTCTGCACTTAGATAACGGTAGGGTTTTTTGCCACTGTTGTCCCGTATGTTAGTGTTGGCACCATATTCACACACCAGCAGTGATAACACACGTTCGTGGCTGTGAATGGCGGCTATGTGGAGAGCTGTGTATCCGTCATAAGACTTGGCATTCACATCGACCCCTGCGGCTCTCTGTCTGGAAACATCAATGACTTTACACACCATTTCCCCGTTTCCGCTTTTAGCAGCCCAATGCAGGATCGTGAATCCACACATGAAGTTTGGCTTCTCCGCCAGCTGAGGGTCTTGCAGCAGGAGGCCGTAGATCTGACTCCAGCTTCCCGTTGCTGCGTTCACAAGCCACTCGTGCTCCATTGGTCCCAAAGGAACTCCATCCGAGTCTTCAGCCTCATCAGCAGCAGATCTGGAGAGTTTGCTACACCTTCGCAGTTGCGGCGAACCCTGTGCATCTAGCTCCTTTCGTTTGGCTCTCAGAGAGCTGTAGAGAAAGCCTTCTCCAGCAACACATCTCTGATTTGCTTTGACTTTCATAGCTCGCTCTGCAGTCGGTTTAGCATCTACTATTACTGTTTTTAAGCTTGTTCTTCTCTTTTCCTCATGCTGCAGCTCACATGATGGAGATTTCACAGCCACAAGAGCAAAAACAGCCCCAGTTTGGCCACTTCTAGCATCACTTGTCACATTAAGCACTCTTGCTGTCAAACACTCGCTCTCATTAAAGTCAGATGGACTTCTTGAGTGACTTTTACTGCTATTACTCACAGCTTGTGGGGAGCAATGACAATAATAGTTATTAATGATGTCCACATTCTCTGTTTCACTGGAATCACGCACGGATTTGACGCTGCATGGAGATGCAATTGAACTGCTTTTTGCACCTGCGATGAATCCCAGGAACTTTTTCTTCACAGCCACGTACTTCACATCATCGGCTTGTTGCACCACGGCGACGCTGTTGACCAGGCGCTTGAACAGCTCTCGGGTTTGTTTCTCTTCCGCGGGGTCGCTGGAGTTTATAAGTCCTCTGAAGTTGCTCACGAGCTCCGAGTTCTTCACTTTCCCCCCGCGCTCCAGCAAAAAGCTTAGGATCGTATCTCGAGTCAAAGCCATTTCCCCTCCGCAGTACTTTCTCTTCTTTAGTGTCTGTGAGAGATGTTTCAAAAACAACCTGCTGCTTCCGGCTATCCTCTGAAACCCTCCTGCCTCTTATCCCAGGGGGGCGCCAGCATCAGTTAATTCAGAGGCGTTCCCTTGAGAATTTATGAATATGAGTTAACAAATCTTTAGCCATCCACTAGGGGGCAATCTGACTCCCACTGGGGGGACCCCTGCTCTAAAGAGATAGAAAAGATTTGTAAGTGTGCATCTCGTCCACAACTCTAACTCTATACAAACGTATCTAATAGCACATGAAGTCATTAAATAAACAGACAAACAAAGACTAAATATTAAATGCATACATGCCAAGCCGAGAATATAGTGGTTTGCATGCCATCTTCTGGTTAGTTCATTTTCAGATCAATTTTCACAAGTAGGACATTCTCCAGACTTTTCAGTGGTGGTTTAATTTCGTCTCCGTGTTTGGTGCTACTTTGGTATAAAATAGAATTTGACACTTTATTCGGTTGCATAGCTATTTTGTTGTATTCTGTTTATTTTGAAGACACGCCTACACAATTAACCATTAATATTCCTTTGTGAAAAAAAAAAAGCACAATTTTCATGATGGAGGCTGGCTTTACAAAATAAAAATGCTGGAAGACCTGTTGATCTCCATATGTTGATGTGGAAAAACACCAATTTGTACACTAAAAATAACGCAATTTTATTTATATTTCATTAAAAACATAACATTTTGAATAACCCCATCAAATGACAATTTAAAGTTTGCTGTTTTTGGGAAACAACTTCACACTAGAGAGTTTTTTTTAAAGGGGTCATATGATGCGATTTCAATTGTTCCTTTCTCTCTATAAACAGATGTAACAGAATGACAATATATCTATCACATAGGGAGCAAGACAATAATGTAGACTACCTTTTGAACCGATTCACATTTCTTACAGCTTTCTTATTAGAAGAGTCAGAAATCATACACACATAAGAGTTTTAAATCTTCAAGAAAAATATTTTTACTTTGTATTTTATAAGACAGTTGTCTGTACAAGAAACAAAATGAGCATAAAGGCAGATGAAGTGCTCAAGAGACTTTGGCCACACTGAAGGCCCTTTTTTTATTTTCTTGGAGTAATAAATATCTTTTTTAAGGTTTGTCTACAACTCTCAATCAAAATGGTTTTAAACAGGGTTACAATAGTAGACACCATTATTGAATCATGAGTGTTGCTAAAATGTCACTTTTTATGGCTTTTTCATTTAAAAAAAAAAAAAGAATAAAACTTGTATTCATCTGAATGTCTGACAAAAAACGCTGTTTACTTATGTATGCTTTGCTTGTTCTATCTCGTGCACTAGAAACAGGCCTAGCAGTCATCATCATAATAATAAACTAACTATGCTAAACAGTGTCTGAATCAGAATGCTTATCATTGGTTTATGTCTGACTAATGTACTATGCAACCTGGATTACATAATCAGATCCCAAAATTTACTCCTAATTAGATTACATTACATTTTAAAGTGGTCATAATCAGATTACAGTTACTTTTTATAGATTACATGACTACATATTATTTGCACAACGGCAGCAAATTATTCATAATGTAACGACGCACCCTTATTATTTTTTCTCTCTTAAATGGTCCTTTCTAAAAAATTCTTACTGCATATTTAGAATCAAACCCTTCTTTCAGGAACCCCAGTTTGGGAAACCCTGGTGTAATGAAATGTTCAATGCACTTAATGCTGTTGATAACGAATAATGGAGAATATTTTATAATGCGTTAGGTCAAAAGTAATCAAAAAGTAGTCCGAATACATTACCTAATATGTGTAATCCAAAATATTATGTTACTAAACTACAATTTTCATCATGTGATCGGTAATCAGTAATAGACTACAATTTGTAAGTAATCTACCCAGCTCTGCCATTTCTGACTGATAATTAGAGATCAGAGGTGAACTTCTACTTTTTTTGATTATTGATTTCCAACTTCATATTAAAAACTTTCACACAGAAGTCACTTTCAAACCAAAGTTGGTCTCCCAAATTTGCAGTGTTGACAAACAGAAAGCTTAGTTACTTCTATGTGAGCGATGGTTCACGCCTCTCTGCTGCAGACAATACACCTGTTTTGGATGCCAAATTTGACAGAAATGTTAATGTGACAGCACTTTTAGAAATCCCAAAATTACCAAAATGCTAATCAGATTTTTTGCAATCAGATTGCAAGCAAGTGCACATTTATATGTAAATCAACAATCCTCTCTTGCACCGAAAAAAAGTATTTAATGAATGCATGTTGGCTTATTGAAAACTGGCTGTTTATTGAACGAATAAGATGCAAAACTACAATAAGAATCGTCCCAGACCACATTTAGTAAAACAATCAAGTGCATAAATCACAATTTCAGGATGTTTACATTGTCATTCCACTTTGAACACATTTGGCAAAAACAAGCAACAACTAATCACTACTTACTAACGAGTGCACTTGTTTCGTTTGAAGACTGCATCGCTTAATTGACCTTAAATGACACAGTAACAAAACATCCGCTGGGTAATTTTTTATATATATATATATATATATATATATAGGATAATTTTTTTAAATAATATTTCAAAAGCTTAGAATGTATTAGTAATGTATTTCAGTAACCTTATTCAGGTCGTGCTGCGACATCTTGAATATTTATGTATCTGTTAAGGCATTAATGCACAAATAGCTGTATACAAATGCGCTCAGTCACACTGTCAGTTCACACAAACCACTGGGTTTTGAAATCAAATGACGATAAAAAAATTAAAAAAATACATTTAAAAGCTTAAAGTTACCGAGATAATGCACATTTAAATGTGGCAAAGGCAGCTCAAGTGTTGCCGAACAATAAAATGAATATGCTGAATCTTAAAAGACACTTAAAATGGTTTAGCGTTTTCTTGGTTACTAACTTGTGTGACCCCATCACAATTGACCTGATCTTTCTGAGACAGCAGATCGCTGCTTTCTTTGGAATGTACTGCATCTCAGCACTTGAGGAAAATATGAAAAGTATAGAGTTCATTTGTTCACTTTTAAAAGAAATCTTCACATTCCTTCATGTCCCACAGCAAGGTATATACTATAAATAAAAGATGTAATAAATATTCACTTAATCATGATCATAAAACACAATAAATGACTTTTAAATTGCTGTTTTCACAAAAATAAAACTTTTTTTTTTTTGTAGTTGATTTTCCTTACCTGGATTGTCATTTTTAAAGGGACAGTGCATCCAAAAATGAAAACCCTGTTATTTATTCACCCTCAAGTTGTTTCAAACCTGTACATGTGCTAAACACAGGAAGATATGTTGAATAATGTTGGTAACCAAAACGTTTCTGGTTCCTATTGATTTCCATAGTATTTTTTCTGGTTACAAACATATGCAAAACACCTTCGTTTTGTGCTCAACTGTGGCTAAACTCACACAGGTACAACTTGAGTGTGATTGTCATTTTTGGGTGTACTATCCCTTTAAATTGGCCAGCAAGAATACTTGTAATGTAAACGGAGAGCCTCTCGAACGGCCGGACAGCCAAAGCTGTGTAAGCTGATCCATGCAGCATCACAGTGACAAACCTCTCCTGAGGCGACTGAATTGGGACGCCCCTCGTCTACAGGCACTGAGGTAAAGCTCAGACCACCTCCTCCTCGCAGTGAGCGTCTCCCACCAGCAGAGAGTGCTTGTCGGGCTCGCTGAGGGCCATGCTGTTCATCGAGTGCTTGTCGGAGCGCAGCGAGTTGATGGAGGCCCGGCTGTAGTTGACGAAGCGGTCGAGCAGGCTGAGTTTGGGCGAGGACCGGCGCAGCTCTCCCATGCCGATGTGAACGCTGACTTCAGACAGGCTGCCGCGTCTTCTCACCTCGCCCAGTCGTCTCTCCAGTTTCTCAGCGCTGGGTTTAGTGTAGCTGCAGAAACAGGGAACGAGGGTCAAGTACAGGGCTGGGCAATATAGCTAAAAATGATTTACGACCAGTGTTGGGTAAGTTACTCAAAAAAAGTAATCCACTACAAATTACTAATTACTTTCAAGTTTAATTTACTTTTCAAGTTATCAAACCAAAAAAAATACACTACAATGCGAAACTCGTAGAATACTTGACACGCATACGAGAAACATACCTAAAGAAAGCTTGAAGTGTCTATTTGTAACTGAAGTCAGTCATGTCGAAAACAAATATTCTCTGATAAAATAATCCGTATGAAACCAACGCGAGGTACAGTCTTGAGCTCACCTATAATGCGATCACGCACATCGCATGCTATAAAATCATCCACGTGAAACCAGGTTTGAGATGCGCGAATATGTGAACGCCCACATCGCCTCCGTAAACAAAGAAAGATTCATCAAGTTCATCTCGTCTACTTTTCGTTTTCGGAAGAAGACGCGCTATGAGGAATAAGCCTTGAATTTACCTCAGAAGACGAATGCGATGCAGACGTGGCTTAATGTGAAAGATCTCATTCTGATGAGTCATTTATTTTTACTTAGGCCTATATTTGTGTTACTGTGACATAAACTTGTACACATTCACTTGTTGAACTTTTCCAAAACTATAATGCCTTACTAAAATATGTGAAATCGAGTGCAACATTTAGAAATATGATAGGTAACCTTTAATTGCATCTGAATGTTGTAGCATTTCGTCATGTCGTCTGCATTTTAGCTCGCATTATCCGGCGATTTATTAAAGGGCATACTGATGCGCAAAACGATTTTTACTTCATATTTCTGAACACTGCAGTCTGCATTTGTAACTTAAGTAACGCAATTCCTCTGTAACGCGTTATACCCAACTCTGATCACGACATACTGTTTAATAGGCCTGTCGCAATAATCAATATATCAACTTACGAATATATCGATGTGCGAATATATCGCACAATATATGTACATGACCTCAATAATTTTTGGTGACGCAATATATCGCCCATTATATTTACATAAAAATGTATGTCACCGTGTTTTGTACATTCCACTTGCGCCTGTTTCTTTTGCAGGTTCTCGTACATAATGTGGTGTAGTCATGAGGTGCTCGTTCACATTTAAAAAATGCTTCTACAAACAAAGTTTCATCTGCAGATATGATCTTGTTTAGAGATCTGTCTTTGTGCATACGGACATCTGACTGCCGAGTAGTGATTGTGTTTTTCAGCAATAGTGCGCACCCTTAATTTACAGAGAAAAGAAGGTCAGGGAAAAATCTGTAGATGGAAAAATCTCCAAACAAGTTCTTTGTGCATTTTTCTTTTTTCTTGTTACTTTGCACTTTTTGTTAGAAAATGTTTATTTATTATTTATTCAAATTTTTTAAGGTATCTAGTATTTTGATACTTAATTTCCATGATCTAAATATTCTTAAGAATTAAAAGTTTGTTGTCATTTGGAAGTGTGTAGGCCTTCTTGCATTATTATGCTGTTAAATTATGATTATATATTCAGTGGCATAAAATGGTCTTTAAAATTACAATACTATCGCTTATCGCAATTATTTCTGGGGCAATATATTGATTATCGTGACAGGTCTACTGTTTAATATCATTCGGTATCGATAATTATTGACATTTTGTAATAACCATTTTGCAGGAAAGAGCAGTAGAAAAAAAGGTTTCGATTTAACCAGTGTATTTTTAATTTACACAATCTATTAAGACAAACAACAAATAATTTTAGGTGGGCGATATCGCAAAAATATCATCATATCACAATTTTTTTTTCCAAGAATATCACGATCCTTTGCCATGTTGGTTGTACTATTTTGTCTGAGTTTGACTAAGTTGTCTGAGCAGTAAAGCCAAACTAATTTCCCTATTTTAGCTTAGCTTAGCTTAAGGACAAAGCCTTACAAGGTAACAAAATACAAAAGAGTGGCAGATATTTAGGCCAAAGGGGGCGAAGATAAAAATCTTTGTCGTCATTTTATCTTTGTTATTAAAAAATAAGAACAAAGATACACATTACAAATACACATAATATACAAATAAACAAACAGTGCTTTATTTCTCAGGTACAGTAGGCGTATTTAGGAGTAGCATTCATGAAATTGATTTAACAAATATAAAAACAAAACACTAAATACATCAATTATACTTTAATTCTTATTTAAGCAACTGTATTAAAGTTATTGTGTTTTGTTGACAAAACACAAAAACATATGAGATACAGTAGAATGGAATAAACTCCCACAAATTCTCAAGACATGTTTTCTAAAAGTTGCACCTCTTTTAACTTTACATGGCTTTTTCTATACATCTCTTGTGTGAGACGCGAGTGCAACAGTCATAGTTGCCCGTCTCAAAAATGCACTCCGTGAGAATGGCTTGGTTTTGGTTTTAACCAAACCAATTTTCTTCTCCACATTGAGCTTCTGTATTTCTCTAATATTTTGAATGAAAAACGCAGCAGTGGCGCATCTCATGGGTTCAACTGGATAGGCTACAGCACAGTTTTTGGATTTGAATGCAAATTTTTATTTTAAATTCGACTAATATTCCTTTTTTATTCACAATCTCCTCATCGCAGGCATGCATGACACATATTTCAGCATTCGTGTGTTCTGAAGTCACAATTTATTGGCTTGTCACTCATAGCACGCGGCTTTAAATGAAACGAGCATGAAACTGTCTTGCAGTATATTGCACATTTTTTCTATCATTGTGTATCAGGTGTACCGTCAATAAATACTGATACCGTTTTAATCGCGCAGGCCTAGTCAAGTCAATCTTTTGAGCATCTAAAGGAAACACTTAAAAAGCCTGCTGAGTCCAAAATAGCAAAGCCTGTTACTAAAGCATGCAAAAATGTTTATTAAATCGAACTGTGTGAAGATCAGAGAGGTTTACCATTTGAGTAGGAGGGAAGACAGCACTACAGACACAGAGGAGGCAGCCATCGCAGCAGAGCCCATCCAGGGCTGCAGCACCAAACCCATCGGCATAAACACACCTGCACACAGCAGCATCCAATAATCACACTCTAGCAATAATACAAATGTGCAGATTAGTGTCCGAATACTTTATAAACCATTAGAGGCATAAATACCGTGCTTTCTGCTTTGAGACCTAACTGATACATTATTATCCAACATAATACTGACTAGGGATGTAACGATTAACCGCGAGCCGGTTGAAAAACGATTAAAATATGTGACGATTCAAATCGGTTGAGATGCTAAACAAATCGCGATTCATTTAGGGGTAGGAGTTTACACTGTAATAACTATGATACCCTGTATCATCCCATTATTTATATATATATATTTTTTTTAGAGATCGACCGATATATCGATTTACCGATATTTTTCCCGATATTTACGCATTTTACAATAATCGGATATCGGTTTTGTAATATCGGATTCACCGATAAATGCCGCCATCTTGTGGATGTTTTGAGAATTGCGCGCAGGATCACCATTGCAGCGCTTCGAGGGGAAACAAGGCAACAACAACGGCGTGCTCGGGTACTTGATTTACTGTAGTTAGTAAACTTTATTTAACATAATAGCCATTAATGCACAAATTAGATGTATTACATAAATGCCTGATATGCAGTTTATGCAGCTTGGCTCAAAGAAATAGAGATGAACTCACGGAGTCACGTAAGATAATCCGTTAAGTCCTGTCCCAATAAAGATGTAACTTTGCATTAATTACATAAAACAGCCATGAATGCTGTTCACTCACCGGGTTGATGTGGTTGATGCTCAGGAAATGCTCCAGCACGGCCACCGCATGTAACTTTT